CCTTTTGCAGTGTTTCATGCTGTGGGTTTGTGTGTCTAACGATAACAGGAGGCTTCTGTTTGCACCACTTTCCTTTTAACATTGATTTTTTTTAAAAAGATACTTTAATTGTTGGAGGCTGGTATGTTGCAAATCTAGTGCCGATTTCCAGCATCATGTTTATTATCAAGAATAGTAGGTACTCTTAATGAGTTCCTTAAGTCCTGCCCCCCCCCTTGAGAAGAAAGAAAGGAAAGGAGAGGAAGGAGGGAAGAGATAGAAAGAGAAGGAGAGAGAGTAGGAGGTGGGAAGAGGAAGAGAGGAGTAGGGGAGAGGCAAGGGAAGAAGGAAAGGGAAAGGAGAGGAGGAAGGAAGGAAGTAGAGAAGGAAGGGAGAGTGAAAAGAAAAGAAAAAATAGGGTGGTGATAATACAAAATAGGTCTATGGGATGGTAAGCAAATATACAGAATGTATATTTTAACCTTTTATATGGAAAAGCAAATATATAAACATGATAAAAGATAAATAAGAATAATAACTATGTGAATGTATACCTGTAACTATATATAAGAGAATAAAAATAAAAAACTTTTTAAAAAAGTTTCCCTTCCCCAAAAAGTAAAAATGGTGGTTAGGTATATTCATCTCTACATTTCTCCCAGGATAGCCCCTATTTCTCCTGCTCACATGTGAGTCTTGATAGTAAGAACTGCATTTTGTGAATGCAGATACTCTCCCATGTATGACTATAGATGTAACACATTTTCAAATTCTTAACACATCCATCATTCCAAAATAATTGGAAATGCCTTGTTATAGTCTAAGAGTCTATATTTGATGTCTTGGGTGTTATACTGTCAAAAGAAAGGTAGGGGAACAGAAGGAGAGTCTCCAGTAGCATAGAGGCATAGAGCCTGGTTAACTGAGTCAATTGTCTCAATTGTTTCTGCCTGCCTGGTCTGTTCTAGCAGAGTAGGTGCATTCGAGATCCCTTCAGTTAAATACTGCCATCTTGTGGGGCTGAGGAAGCATGCCTTCTTCCAGAGGACCCCACTTTCTGAAATAGCTTTCCTCCCAGAGATGTGGGTACCTCCTCCTCATTCTTCTGGATAGTCCTGAAAGCCCCTAAGACCTGGTTGTATTCCCAGATCTAGGGTTAAAATAGCTGTTCTATATTTATTGATAGGATCCCTGTTATATTTATGCACTGTTTATTGTTCTGGTTGTTTTAGCCCAGGCTGTTTGTGTGACTTGTAAATGTCTTCATTATTTTAATGTGGGGGTTTTTTTTGGATTTTATAAATTATCCAGAGACTTCTGGAGTGGGTATCCATAACAAATCTAGTAAATAAATAAGCTAACATTAATTGGAAAAAACCCACTATTATATCATTGATCTCTGCAAATAATTTGGGGAACATTCAGTGACTTTATATGCCAAATGAGTAATACAGAATTGTTTAAACAAGAAAATAGAAAAGCATTCAAATGTAGTCTCCATTCTGCAGATGGAGGTAGTGTGCAATTCCTTCGTGTTTTGGTCCAGCAATTCAACTTGATAAGTGTCACAGAGATGCATTGAAGCATTTCAGACTATTTATCTTCCTTACTCCTTTTTGTGATAAGGATTGCATTGACTAGAAATAATTCCTTGTGGACACAGCCTCTGTTTTCTTGCCAGCAGCCCGGTACAATGCAGTATGTTGGGATTGACACACCTTTCTCATGTTTTCTTCCTTTCCTTCCTCTTCCTTCCTTCTTGCTTGCTTGGTCACATATGCCTGCTGCTCACTTTCTGGGTTTTTCTCCCCTCTGTCTTTTCACTCTAGGCAAAGGAACTGCAATGGAAAGACGAAGAGCTGAAGCGGAGAGAGACCTTCTATAAGGAACAATTGGCCAAGATGGAGAAGAAGGTGAGGCAACATGATCTTTCATCTGCATCGGCTTTATGTTAGTGGGATCAGAGTAGATCATGAGAAAAGAGAAATGCGAATCATTGTGCTGAAACTTGGCATTCTTAGCCCCTCAAGCATACTTTTTGTGGCTCTCCTCCTTCTCACACACTATTAATCTGCTTCAAAAGCATAACCTTTAAAACAGTGCACATTTGAAATGGAACTGGTTCTTAACTGGATTATGTTTTTTTAATAACTACTTTTCAAAATCTTTCATAGTGTTTCCCCTTCATCCCAATTTATGAAGCTTGTTTAAAGCAAAGTTACAGTTTTTAAAATATCCTTTGTTAAAATCGGTGTCTCAGACAAACAAGCAGAAACCTAGTGAAAGTCATCTCATCTTATTCTATACATATGCTGTACATTAAAGTCACTAATTTATCTATGTGGAAGCCAATAGATCAAAACCTGTTGCATCCAAGTGCTGTCTGTCTTGCGCCATGTAAGCTTTCAAAATGAGCACAATTTAAAAAGGTGCCATCCAGCATCTTTTCAGTGTAAAAATGACCCTTTGGAAATCTAGTTTGTATATTTCTTCCTGTTGTATTTTTTAATACCATGAGTTTTTAAAATGGGGATAAACAAGAATTCACCAGATCATAATTGCATCTTCCTGCGAGTTCTTAAAGAACTCATATGTGAAGTTGCTAAAGTTCTAGTAAAGTCATGTAACTTTCAAAATTCCAAATAAGTTTGATGCCAGAGGACTAGGAAGTAGCCAATGTAACACCATTTTTTAAGAAAGAGAGAGAGAGATCTGGGAGATTATAGGTCAGTTGGTTTAACATCTGCTCCAGGTAACAAGTAGAAACAGCAATCAGAATAAAAAAACATAGACATACTGAGTATACAAGTCTTACTGTAGGAAAGTGAGCATGGATTTCATACATTGTATTTCACCAATCTTTTGGAGTTTTTTTGCAAGTATGAGGAGGCACATTGATAGAAATAATTTTATTAACCTTGCATATTTTTTCAAAAAGGTTTTTCCATCAAAGGTTTCTGAGTAAATTTAGTAGCAATGGGATAAAAAGAAGTGTTACCCAATAAATTGCTAACCTGTTCAAAGGCAGAAAAAAAAATAGGAGTGAAAGAGAAACTTTCTCAATGAATGGGAAAAAAAGGAGTGAAAGAGAAACTTTCTCAATGAATGGGAAAAAAAGGAGTGAAAGAGAAACTTTCTCAATGAATGGGAGTAAGTAGTGGTTCCTTAAGAATCTGTTTTGGGACTGATGTTTTTTTTAAATGAACTTGACTTTGGCCCAAATAGGGAGCTGGCTACATTTGTAGATGATATTATAATGTTCAGAGGGATGTGTGTGTATGATCAATGGGAGTTGAAGTCCAACAGGTCTTAAAGTTGCCAAGGTTGGAGACCACTGACTTAGATGACTGAGAAAGGAGAATGTTTGCTAGACATTTTTCTCCAACTATGCGAACATATGGATGCTCATATCATAGACATGAGGAAG